GTTCCAACCCTGGGACGCACACGGACCGCGCTGAGGGACCACCCCTTGCGCGCCCCCACTGGCGTCTAGAAAGTGCAGCGCCTGCTAAGATTCCCGACCCTGACACGCGTAGACACAGCGCTGAGGGACCAACCCCTGCGCACCATCTCTGGTGTCGAGGAAGTGCCACGCCTGCCACGCTTTCCCACCCTGGCACGCATAGAGCCAGCGCCGAAGGACCACCCCCTGCGGACCCCCTCTGGCGTCGAGAAAGTGTCACGCCTGTCACACTTTCCTACCCAGGCACGCATAGAGACCGCGCTGAGAACCCCCCCTGCGCACAACCTCTGGTGTCGAGACTGTGCAGCGCCTGCCGCGCTTTCCGACCCTGGCACGCATCGAACCAGCGCCGAGGGACCAACCCCTGCGCACCCCCTTCTTGTGCCGTGGGGGTGCCGCGCTTGTCATTATTTCCGACCCTGGCACGCATAGACGCCGCGCTGAGGGACCACACCCTGCGCACCCTCTCTGGTGTCGAGGAAGTGCCCCGCCTGCCACGCTTTCCCACCCTGGCACGCATAGAGCCAGCGCCGAGGGGCCACCCCCTGCGCACCTCCTTGGTTGCCAAGAAAGTGCCACGCCTGCCACGCGTTCCGACCCTTGCACGCATAGACACCGCGCTGAGGAACCACCCCCTGCGCAACCCCTCTGATGTCGAGGAAATGCCACGCCAACCACGCTCTGCACCTCCGACGCGTTTGTGTTGTGTGGTGCGCGTTTCATGTGGGTGACTCGATCTGCGTACGAGTGTCTTGTGTACGTGTGTGTAAGTGTGTGTGTATGTGAAAGTGTGTGTGTGTGTGTGTGCGCGTGTGTGTGTGTGTGTGTGTGTGTGTGTGCGTGTGCGTGTGCGTGTGCGTGTGCGTGTGCGTGTGCGTGTGCGTGTGCGTGTGCGAGTGCGTGTGCGAGTGCGTGTGCGTGCGTGTGTGTGTGTGTGTGTGTGTGTGTGTGTGTGTGTGTGTGTGTGCGTGTGCGGATGTGTGTTATGTGGGTGCACTGTTTAAATTGCGTGCGCCTTGTGCGTGCAACGATCATGTCAATTGTATACCAGCGTTGTCTCGTCCACGTGTCCTCCCGCTCTTGCTTGCGCGTGGTGCGTATGTGGATTATGTGTCTGTGACTTTGTGTGCGTGTGCGGCTGCATCTTGTCTGTTCCGTGTCTGATGCGCATGCGCGGGTGAGAGGATGAAGGCAGAGGAGGAGAGGTGAGAGGAGGTGTGCGTGTGGGACGCGAGTGCGACGCAGGTGGCAAGAAAACCATAACCCCACGGAACATGTGGGGAACTACAGCCAAAAAAAAGTCTGCAAGGAGGCGGGGGGGGCATGACACCTACCTCCCCAGGGCGCCCGCCAGCCAGTCCCCCCCCCGCACTCCGGGTGTTCCCCCCTCTGGCGCACGCCCGAGCGCGGTGGCAGACCCGCGCGGCAGCACAGCTGCACCCTAGACCTTTCTGGGCACGGCCGCGCTCGCAGCCCCATCTGCGCTGGGGCCGGCCGCAGCCGTGGGGTCTGCGCAAGGTGCTGCGCCTGGCTCCGTGCCGCTCCTCGAAACGTCGCGGGCGCGTGCGTGCTCCTCGCGCCGTCGTTTCGCTGCACGGCCGGCAGCGCTGCCGAAAGGATTGCCATCCTGGTCTAGCCCGCGCGTGGGCCGTCGGAAGACAAAGGCGCCGTGCAGCATGGAGCCGCGCGCCATGTGCAGGGCGATGCTCGCCGTGTTACGGCTGTCGACCAAGCCGTCGTGCGCCCTGCCTTCGAATGTGAGCCCCAGGCGCTCGACACACGCCCGCAGACCGCCAGTGGGCTCCTTCTTGTAATGCCTCCTGTAGAGCACCTTCAGGTCGATCCACCGGTCGAAGCAAGCGGGCATGGGCATTTCCTTGTGCCGCAGCTCCCGCACGAGCTGCGAGCCTACGTCGGCGTCGCTCCAGGTGCAGAAGGCCCACCGGCCGATCCTGTCATGAGAGTCTCCCTCGATAAGCTGGTGAGACTGCAGCCAGCTGAGGTACTGTGCAATCACCTCCCTGAGCGGCTCCGATCGATCCACCATTCTCTGGGTGATCCCGGTGAGCTCTATCGAGAAAGCCGTGAGCGTGGGATTCAAGGTCGGGCGAACGTACGCGTTGAACTCGTCTACTACGGCGCTCCTGCGCCCGTCCAGGCGGACGAGCACCGATGGGAACTGGGTGATCTCGCTCACTGGAAGCATGGGGCGGCGATTGTCTGCCGTCCACTCGAAGTCAAGCACAACGAGGTAGTCCATGGGCGCCGGCTGCAGAGCAGAACCAGGCCCCCGTCGGATAGCAGGAGCAAAGAAAAGTAAGACCACCATAACCATCGCGAGAAGCCAGGGATGATCCTCTGGGTGGTGTGGCCCCTCTGCTTCGCGGCGTCCCGCCCGAGACACCTCCCATCTCAAGCTCGGAAGGCATCGTGGATCTCCTCACTGGAGGTGGCCGGCTGGTGGTGATGAGAGAAGCAGGATCAACGTGATTTTTGGAAGTCCACCTGGACCTCTGACACTTGTTGCTTATGTCGACTGCATCTGCTACTCGACCCTCGCTGGAGATGACTCGCTGGTGGTGACGGCGTTGCTGTTCTTCTCTCCGAAATCGCCAGATCCCGCGGCCCAGGAGGCCGCAGGGAACCCCATCCGCGGCGACCCTGCGCCGTCGGCCTTGGGGGTGGCCGTGGCACAGGGCGCGTGGCCAGCAGCGGCGCCTCCGCTCCAGCAGCCAGGGCAGGCACGCCGCGGGGCGGGGAGCGCAGGTCCACGCAGCCGCTCGCGCAGCCAGTCGCCTTGGCAGCCGGCCACCTCGCTGGAGGCACGGCGCCGTCCAGCATGCGGTTGGCCGTCGCGGCTGGGTTGCCGGTGCGCGACAGGTCCAACCGCACGGCCGCCTCGCTGACAGACGGGCACACCTCCAGGACTGCGGAAACCCAAGCATCCATTGCCCTGCCGCCGTGGTCGCCCATGTCCGTTTCGAGGAAATGCCCCGCGATGTTGCACCGCTGGAGCAAATCGGCTTGAGCAAACTGGCTACGGGAGGAACAAAAGCGAGGGCCGTCTCGCATGTATCCTTCGGGCACGGGCGGGCCTCCAACCCCTTAGCCAGGAATGAACCGGGATATGGAAATGGGTAACGCAGGATAGTGGCCATCGTTGCGTCGAGGTTCCCAACGAGGACTGCCCAGCAATAGTCCACCTCCGAAATGACCGCAATCGCTGGCTGACCATCACCTGCTCCTTAGCCCAATGCCCCATCGATGATCCTGGCGAAGGAGGAGGAGGACGGGGAGGAGGAGGAGGAGGAGGAAACTAGGAATGTAGAGCGCACAGTGAAAGGGTAACCTGTCAAAAAAGACAAAATGTAAAGCGGGCGCGGAAGGTGGCGACCCTTGAATCAAGCGCCCGCGGTAGACCAACCCTGACCGCCACGCTGCCCATGCTGATACCCATCACACTACTTACCTCGGGGTCTGGTGCTCAAGCGAGTCCGCTGTGCCTCGTTGGCGATATCGACGCAAACCGTCCACACCACCAACAAGACACACTCTTTTTTTCCGGGTGAATTAACTTTCTACCGACCAGGCTCTTTATACAAATTGCCCACAGGAAAAGATCGACAACCAGCTTCGGTTGGTCCCGAAATTGATGGGTTTCGCCCCAGGGCACCACATCTTTACTCAACTTAAGCCCAACATGGCTCAAATCGTCGAGTCACGTCGTTCTCAATGTTGGGGTCCAAGCTAGTGGGTCCAAGGACATTGCGGGCCGTGAAAGGAACGTAAGTATCCCGTTAAGCGTATGGTAAGGAAGGGATGTTGTAATATGAGCACGCGCGCGTGGGTCGCGCGCGAAACTTTTCTTCCGAACCGAAATTGCTGCAGACGGTCAACTCTCAGACGGTCAACTCTATATACATCGACGGCGGCAGAACGCAGCAAAACAGTGCGACCCCAGTCTACTGTGACAGATCATTCCATGTCCCCAGAGGACACAGCGTGTGGGTGAGGTATGATGCGAATACATGCAGATACCACACGTCTCTACCGGGTGGCTCTGAAGGGCGTAAGGTCACCCTCAGGATCACGTTCGACTACGACACGTGGGAGGAGCTTGACGACACAACACACGCCAGCGGGATGGCGGCGCCTTCGGCCGCCGCCGCCGACAGGCGTTTCCGGGCACCGCTCCCCTGTGGACCACGCAGCACAGCAACGGTACTTGTGCATCAAGACAGCATTGCTGAAGCCACAGTTCACACGCCCCAGAACCCCACAGAACAGGGCTGGTTGCGAGAAGAACGGCGCGCGGCCCCAGCTCCGCCGCAGCCGCCCCCGCCGCCTGAGTACGAACCAGGACCTAAGAAGAAGGTACAGATAATCGAATACGACATGGCCGAAATCTTCAAGTCCTGTATTTCTCTGTGCGCAGAACTCACGGACACCGACCAGGCCACCGACCCGCTATCGGGCACCCCCTTCGGCCCTGAGTTATCGTCCTTCGAGGATGGCCAAGGCGGCCCGCGCGGAGAGGTGCTGGCACCTGCCGAAGAGGCCCTGGCTGCGCGCGCACGCATCGACGCAGCTGTCGGGCCCCCTGACGCTGAGGTGCATGTGGGCGGCCCTCCCATGGAGGGCCCACCAGCCCCTGATCCTAGGCCAGCTGCCCCGTCGGGAATCCTGCAACCAATTGCAGCCAAGGTTCTGATGGAAATTCTATACGGGGCACGCAAGGCACGTCCGGATCTTCTGAACGCAGTCTGCAAAACCGCTGCGTGTGTCACCAAATGGGCGGAACAACAGGACATAGACTTGTTCCGTATCATCTGCTGCCTGAAAGCAACGGCGCATTACCGCCTAGTGTCTTGGGTGGGCGATCTCCGGGAAGACGTTTGGTTACGACAGTTCGCGGATGCTGACCTGGCAAGTGACATTCGCACCCATCGCAGTATTAATGCAAACGCGCAATTCTTGTGGGGACCAAATACGAGGGCGCTTCAGAGCTGCAGTTCCCGCCGACAGACCGCAGCGTCTCATAGCACATTGGAAGCGGAAATTGTCTCAGCTGTTGAAGCCCTCAGGAGAGAGCTCCTGCCGGCGCCCCCGTTGTGGGAGATGCTACTCGGCCGAACGTTGAGGGCGGAGTTCATGGAAGATAACCAAGCAGTCGTGAAAGTTTGTAAGGCCGGTGGCTCTTAAAAACTCATGCACTTGTCGCGTACTCGTGGGATGGACGCTTCCGCAGTTGCAGAGCAATTCGCCAGAGGAACAGTGAACCTGGTCTGCTGTCCAACGCACGATCAGGCCGCGGACATTGGTACCAAGAGATTCGAGCAGCCACCATCGTGGACCAAGGTGCTCTATCTCGTGCAGGTCGTGGCCCCGACCTTCTGGACTGCCCCGTCGTATCATCAGTATTTGCACTCACTGTTCGAAGGTGGCGCGGGTCTTCCCCTGAAGCCCGGGGGGATTCTCAAGCCGAAGCTCGGCGCACAGTCCAAACTTCGGAACGGCGGTAAGATTCCGAGCTAGAAGGCCAAAAAGAAGCCTAAACGCCAAAACAATCCCCGCTGATTCACCTGCCAACCCCAGGGTTCATAACCGAGCGGGAACACCAGCGGAGGCTACTAAAGAACGGAGAAAGTACCATCGACGAAAAACGAAGGAAGATAAAGAAATGATGGTTCTGTTCGAGATAACTGACAGTGAATCAAGCGCTTCGGAGGTACTTGCACCTTCTTCCGACGAAGAGGATAGCCAAGAGACCATCGAAGAACGGAGTGCAACAGTTAGCCATGCTATGGTTGCTGCTCCTGATGCCGCTGTAGGTTCCAGCGGAACATCCCGACAACGCCTTTTCATGGAGTTCTGCCGCGGGCCTAACAGCCGGCTGGGGAATCAAGTCTTCATCCCGATAGGTACTGCAAGGTGGTACGATTGACAGAGAACGAAGACATGACCACCAGAGAAGAAAAAACGCTTGCTGTGGCAAGGATAGAGGAGCTTGAAAAGGAAATGACGAGTCAGGGTCTTGCCGCGGACAAGCGTATAACCTGGTGGATCTCGATACCATGTGCGGGCGGATCTCCGTGGCAGTATGTAAATGAAGCCACATATTACCGCTCTGGCAATGAGAAAGCTCTCAAGAAACTGAGGGGTCACGAAACGCTTTTCAGGAAGCTGTTATGGGTAGCTCGCGATTTGGCACAGGAAGTTAACGAGAGAAACGGCCAGATCTGCCTTGAGTGGCCGACCCCATGCCGACACTGAAGTGATCCACATGTGAAGGAGTTCTTGAACACATACAAAATTATCAAAATACAGCTCCATGGCTGTGCGTACGGATTGAAGAACAGCAAGGGGCAATACTGGCAATACATGAAAAAGCCATGGAGCGTCGCATCATCCTCCAATGTGATAGCCGAGGGGCTGATACGCAGGTGCGATGGCAGTCATAGGCATGTTGAGGCTAGAGGAAGGGATTGTAAGCAGGCGGAACACTATACGGACGAATTTGCGAGACGCGTGCACGTGTTGGTGTTGCAGGCACTCGTGGCATGTGGGAGTGCCATGCACCGTGCTCCCATGCATGCCGCACCTGCTGTTGCGTGCGCGCGCACGTTTGCTACCGCTGCCGTTTCGGCTCGTGACGCTGCCCGCGCGCAGCCCCCCGACGCGGCTGCCCTGCCAGCCATGCCTTCCTGCTCGCGCCGCTGCTGCTCGCCGGCGCCTCGCACCCTACGCACCGGCGCCTCTGCTGCGCCCTCGCCCCTCGGTCGCGGACCCCGCAGGTCCGCAAGTCACGTGAGGAAGGGCGCCGAGTGCCCCGGCTTCGGCAAGAGTCTCTCCATAAGAGACTTGCAAAGGACCATGTCCTGTATCACGCCCGGTGCCTTGCGCGGATTCTGGGGAACAACGTTCCAGAATGGCCTGGATAGCCCGAAAGTTTTCGGGCATGAACCAATCGCGAGGATCCCACGGTCCACGGAGCTCAGCGACAAGGAGAAGTTCGAGAGACCCCTCAAAGAGGCGACGGGTCTCCTCGGTCTTGCAAAACACTTCGCAAGTGACCCCAATCTTGAGCGTCGCTATCGCTCAGGGTGCGCGACCGAGTGCGATCTGGACCGCCCGAACCGGCACGCGCCCCCGCCCGGCCAATGGGACACTGCGGAGATACACAGCTTCAACGCGACTCAAGGGGCCGACGAGAGCAATGAGCACGGGGGCAGCATGGAGTCTGAACGTCGTGGGGGCGCATTCGCTCCTCACACACATCCATGGAGCAAAACCCCCAATCTGTACCAAGTACTGGGGTTACAACCAGGACAGGACATCGACACCTCCTTCCGTGACGCGCATCGCTACGTGCACTCGGACAAGAGAAGGGCAATGATCAACGATGGACTTGACGAGCCTGGGCTGCTCGCGAAGATATCCAAGAAGCCAACGCACCAACCCGCCGTAAACCCACCGCTGGACATCTACAGTGTCATTTGGAATTCCGCCAGTTCAGGCAACATCCCCTGGGTCGGGGGATTGGAACCTTTCATAAAAGGGCAAACACTTACCCGTCATACGGGGCAAGGAGTCGGCCTCGGAGGTGCCGCGTGAGATGGGCGGGCGCCGCATGGTAGAGGACCTGAGCGCACTTGTTACCACTCCCTGGTTGGATGCAGAAGCTCCCATGGAGTATCGCATCACTCGGCCGTTCCTCACTCAGGAACAGAACGAGGCCCTGCTGCAAGCGTGGTTCCTGCGTCAGGGTGCCCGTACAATGCCAATATCAGGGGACATACGGGATCGATTATGCCCACCCAACTCTCAGGCCAGGCTTCCTTAGGCAAACGCACCCACGTCGGGGTGCCTCCCAGCTTGGATTGTGTGTATGCCTGTCGGGCGTCAGCCTGCTGTATGTCGTGGCCTTCAAACAAGCCATGCGTGTCGGCGGCTTTGCTGGCCTGCGTCGTGGCTGGACAGCTGGGGAGTTCTTGAAGCAGCGCAGCGTTTCTGTCTTGGTCTACTACACCGGATCCATCAAAAACGACCCTTCCCTTAAACTTACGGTCTTT